GGGAGCCCGATGCGGGACTCGATCCTGGGACTCCAGGATCATGACCTGAGCCGAAGGCAGTCGCTTAACCAACTGAGCCACCCAGGCGCCCAGATGTTTAATTTTGATTAATTTCTTAGAGATGGCTTTAGACATTCATTTCAACCATAACTGCTACTTTATTTGTGTGAAGAAAATATTTTAGGTTCTAGTCTTAATTAAGAATATTTTCTTTTTCTTTTTTTTTTTTAAAAATTTTATTTATTTCGCAGAGAGAGACAGCAGCAAGAGAGGGAACACAAGCAGGGGGAGTGGGAGAGGGAGAAGCAGGCTTCCTGCTGAGCAGGGAGCCCGATGTGGGGCTCGATCCTGGGACCCTGGGATCATGACCTGAGCCGAAGGCAGACGCTTAACGACTGAGCCACCCAGGCGCCCCAAGAATCTTTTCTAAATTACTTACTTTTCTGACATTTAACTCAAAGCATTTTAGAATTCCAGTCCATAGAGTATGTATGCCTTTTCCTAGTTTTGACCACAATCCTTTTAAAAGATGACTTGTATTTTATTTATTTAAGCCCTTATTATTTTACTCTTTAGGTTGCTACATGGGTGGATGAAACTTTAAGTTCTGTGGCTTCTAAATTAGAGCACACTGCACAGACTTACTCAGAACTTCAAGGTGAACGGATTGTGTCTTTACATTGCTGTGCCCTTTACACCTGCGCCCAGCTAGAGAACAATTTATATTGGTGGTGAGTATCACAGGGAGGGGCAATTCCTTATCAGTGAATGCTTTTAGGTGCATAGATAGGTGCTTTGAGTAGTGGAATACCAACATGAGAAGGTTGGTCAAAGGATAATGCTTTAAAGGGAGGGAAATTCCACTTTGGAGCAAAGTAATATTTAAAAAAAAAAAAAACTTAAAAGAAAGCCTTATACAAGTAACGCATACTTAGTAGTGACTATAATTATGGAATTTTACAAAAGCATAAAGTAGAAACAAACATCACCTACCGTCCTACAGCCTAAAGATAACTGCTGTTAGCATTTGGGAGTATTTAAATCTTATTTTCCTATACGTAAATGTGTACTTTGCTTTTACATAATTGGAAGCATAGGCTATAAGGTATTTTTTCATGCTTTTTTTCATTCAACAGTATTGCTTAAAATACAGTTTTAAAGGTTATTAAAGTATTTCATTGGATGAATATTCTATGCCTTCCTTAATCTTTTACTGTTAGGGATTTTAAATGTATTTTCCATTGTGTTTTAAGGAGTTAGTAGTAAATTTGCATTGGCAGAAATACAGGGGAATCTACTAATGAGATACAATTATTTGGAAGAGAGTTTTGGGTGATCAATTTTCTATAAATTTTAATCCCTAAGGCTTAATAAAAATGGATCCAGTTATGTATTAAACCTATGATCAAGTTATGATTAAGAATAAGTTGTACATGTTAATCCTATTCTGAAGCAAAAATACTGTAATATGTGTAATTTCAGATTAATTTAATAGGCTTCTTTGCTGCTTGCTTGACCAATTTATACTTTTTCTTTTCAGGGGTGTAGTCCCTTTTAGTCAAAGGAAAAAAATGTTAGAGAAAGCTAGAGCAAAAAATAAAAAGCCCAAATCTAGTGCTGGTATTTCTTCGATGCCGAACATCACTGTTGGTACCCAGGTAAGTGATTAGAATGAAACCTGTCCTAAGGGACATTGTTTCTCTTCAAAATCGCTTTCTTCCCCTCTAAGCAGTTTTACAAATGAATGTCATTCGGAGGATCAGGTTCCAGTAGCATGTATGTGCTCTTTATTTAGTAGTTGAGTAACAGAGATTTCTGCCCCAATGTCAGTAGGTTTCCCTATGGGGCAGGGTTTCCAGATTTTCCTAATTTTAAGAATCACTTGGTACTTAAATGCAGAACCTGGAGCTCCTTACCTGAAAGGTTCCTTCAGTTTGTCTGGGGGTATGGGCCAAGCATCATAGTGTTGAACAAACATTGCAGGTGAGAAACAGCCAGGCAGTTTGAAAGATACAGCTCTTGAGGATGCTGTCAGCATAAGGCAGGAGGCTTCATCAGATCCCTGTTTCTACCAGTTTCTGTTTTTTGACTCTGAGATGGTTTTATGCTCCTATCTTATAGATAGGTAATTTTTCTGATACCTCAGTGGATCAAAGTGTGGTCTGAGGACTTCTGCTGGCTTCTCCACTCTTTCATGGAGTTTGCAGAGTCCTGTCTCTTCTGTTTACATATCTGTGTGAAGCTGGATTGTTTTCTACACTTGAATCAAAGTAATGTATCACAACAGATGGAATGCAGAAGCAGACATGGGAATGTCTTCTGTTAAATCAGACATTAAGAGATTTGCAAAAATGTAAATAATGCCACTTTTCTTGCTATTCTTTTTGAAAATGTAGTCATATTTCACAAAATTGTTTATATTAACTTGGGGTTTATTACTGTTAAATATTTAAAAATTTCTCAGTTTTAATTAATAATACATTAAATACCAACTAGATAGGACCCAAATAAACAAAAGATTTTTGGGTCCTTAGTAATATTTAATAGGGAAAAAGGGTTCTGAGACCAAAAGAGTTTGAGAACTGTTGTTCTACTTCTCATTCATTAGACTCTCTAGAAGTTTATCTTCAGGATAAAACTTGATGCATGTATTATTACAGCAAATGCTGCAATAAATGTTTAAGGGCTTTAAAAACCCTGTCACTTAGACAATTTATTTTATTATTTTTTTACACAATTTTTATTACACAATGTGCTAATTTTGTCATCTTGCACCTCAGTTGTTTTTTTCTCATCACAAGGTGGTATTACTTACATTCCCTGTGTCTTAAAAAATAGTCATCATTTTAGCTGTTACTTTTCTACAAAGCCCAGCTTAAATGTATCCGTTTTTGTTCTTACTTGTGGCTCCTTTTTTTTTTTTTTTGCGGGGGTGTGGTCATATTCATGGTTGTCTTGTTCGGACTCCTTGCTTGGCCTCCCAGCTAGGAAGTTTTCAATGATTACCCACTATTTTGAATATTACTGTTCAGCCTTAATTATTTATGTCAGTTGCTTTGGATAGATCTGTCTCTTCGGGGAGCTCCCCTTTTCCTGTTTAGTCCAAATTCTGGTATCTGATGTTCTCAAAGTTCCTTGTTCACTGGACTCACATAATAGCAGGATATCCTAGCATTTGCCTTATTAGCTTGTAGGATGACGTTACTGTAGACAGGGAGGGTAGAAAAAATACTTTAAAGATGCAATGAAAAAAGTTTTAAACAAAACAGCTTCGCACTAAATTGCTGAGAGGTAGTGGTGTATTAAAATATTTTGTTTGTAGAGCTAAGATTTTGTTTTAAAGCTGTGAAAAACTAGAGATTAAAGACAGTGACAGCCACAGAATAAGGAAAGTATTCATATGGTAACTGTTGATCACTTAGAGTTTTCAGCTACACCTGCACTCTCGGATCATAATTATTGAGAGGGATGTATTTAGCCATTATTCATTGGCATGTCTTGTTATATGCTGGATCCTGAATACACACGTTGTTGTTTTTAAGGTGCATTTATTTTTTTTTTATAAGAAGGCATTAATAAATAACCTATTTTCTAATATAACGTCTTTCACTGTCTTATCACATTTCTCTTTAAAATACAGACTTTTTTTTTTTTTTTTAAGATTTTATCTATTTATTTGACAGAGAGAGCACTGGAGCACAAGCAGGGGGAGTGGCAGGGAGAGGGAGAAGCAGGCTCCCAGTTGAGCAGGGAGCCCAATGCGGGGTTCAGTCCCAGGACCCCGGGATCATGACCCGAGCCGAAGGCAGACGCTTAACCGACTGAGCCACCCAGGCACCCCCAAAATATAGACTTTCTTATTAAAGATTTTTATTTATTTTTTTGAGCGAGTGAGTGACAAGAGAGAGAGAGCGCGTGCATGAGTGGGGAGGAGGAGCAAGGGAGAGGGAGAAGCAGACTCCCCACTGAGCTGGGAGCCCAATGTGGGACTCGATCCCAGGATCCTGGGATCATGACCTGAGCCGAGGGCAGACGCTTAACCGACTGAGCCACCCAGTGCCCTGTATCACCTTCTTCTATGTCACTTACGGTTAATTATAAACCACCAAACACATGATCTTCACATATGCCACTGTCAAGTACAACATGATCATTAGTTACTGGATGACTGAACAGAATGTCAGTAAGACTGAGCTCTTGGAAAAATAAGAGATTTCCAGAAATGATGTTTATCTCTCATTTGGAACTATTGTTGTGTTTGACAGTGCCACCTTGCAGGTTGTTAGTTTCAGAGTATGACCTGAGGGTGCTCCCTGACAGAAGTTTTAGGTTATTCAGTCCTGGACTCAATTAACTTCTAACACTGATGTTAGCATATTCTTTTTTAATGGAAGAAAAAACATATTATCCAGGGAAGCTTCTGGTTTGTAGCAAACTGCAGTCTTCTGGGGGGAAGAAGTACCCATAGAGATGAAATTACAGAGCCTGTGTACTGTATAGCATCACGAATTAGGAAAGTAATTTCAAATTAAACTGACAAAAAGTGTAATTTTTTTTATTTTTTTAATGCCAACCTTTAAAAAAACTTTCTTCTCTATTTCTGTTCTATTTCCTTAGAGCAGAATGGTCAGGATATTTGTTGCATGAAATTTGTTTGTTTTGTTGCATGATATGTTAAAGTTATTTTTTTAGCAAATGTGCTCAAATTATTAGTGCTCCATAATTTTGGGAACAAATTCTTGATGGAGGAGACCTTTAAGACAATGCTTTATCAGCATTATTGTTGGTGTAAGACTGTTTTTGGAAAACCTAGGAAACAATACTTTTATATATCGTCTTTACATACATTTGAAGCAACTCTTAGAGTTTCAAAGTTACGTCATTTTGATGGTGATTTTTCTTCTGTATGATAGGTATGCTTAAGAAATAATCCTCTTTATCATGCTGGAGCAGTTGCATTTTCAATTAGTGCTGGGATTCCTAAAGTCGGTGTCTTAATGGAGTCAGTTTGGAATATGAACGATAGCTGTAGATTCCAACTTCGATCTCCTGAGAGCTTGAAAAGCATGGACAAAGCTAGCAAAACTACTGAAGCCAAGTAAGTACTATACTCTGACTCAGCATGATTTTATACCAGTTTCTAGTTTGCTGTGTATGTGAGTCAAGGCTGACTTAGAGGTGCACAGTGACATAGAAGAGTGCTGCCGTGGTGGGTCTCATGAGGATGCCTAAGAGTTTTGAAAGGAATTGGTCAGATTTACTATTTGCAGCTTGGTTAATATTTGTATGTTATAGTTCTTGATGTTCAGCCGCTGGAGTGACCATGTAGAGATCTCTTTTTGTGTCTGTGTTTTGTCTTTAGAGTGTGTCCTTTGCCATGGTTGTGTGGCAGTAATAATGTGTTCAGCCTTACCTGTAGCAGGCCAGCTTTGCCCTTCTCTCTCCCTGTGTTATCATCTTAATTTCTACCTAATGTCTTATCTGCATCTTGATCCTTGGAAGGGTTTTACAGGTTAACGTGCTGGGAAATTCTGTTAAGGATTTGTAGATTTTTGGGTGGGAGGGATATGCAAACAGAAATACCAGAGAATTGTGTGGAGCCCACACACAGAGTCTGGCTTACTGTTTGGGAGCCGGATACGTAGATCTTACTTAACACTTGTACTTTTAGAAGCATCTACTTGTCTCTAAAAAGATTAATGTGTAATGTAATTCGGTTATTTGTTATATGAACTTAAGAAACTTTAATAAAGTTTATAAATAACCTTTTTTCTTAATCTTATAAAAATGTGTGACCATTATAAAAATATGGATGAGTAATGTTATATTTCAGAAATAACACTTTACATGTTTTTATGTATTTCCTTTTTTAAAAAAATGTATACAGGCGTTGAAAAGAAATGGGGATTGTACTATACATACAGATTTTAAAACTGCTGGAATTTTTTCGTTTGCTCAAATGCACTTAATGAATGTAAATTTGCTGTTTTTATCGCTACTATTCCTCTTAATGTTAATGCAAATTGAAGTTTAGAAAACACAAGGATTACTGTTAAATAAGTTAAAAAATAATCTTTAATAAACCAAAGCTATTGTAACTTATGCCAAATTAAGGCTTCTTGCTTTGTTGTAGTGCTCTCTCTCTCTCTCTCTCTCCCCCTGTCTTGTTTTACAAAATAGATTTGTAGACCTCCTCTCTAATTACAGTGATTTTTATCCTAAAAATAAAAGTGACAAAACACATTTTCATTATTTATGAAATGTTGTAAAGGATGGTTAAAATAGTCTTGGTGTGCACAAATATAAATGAGTTTGAAATAGAATATGCTATTGAGATTGTGTAATTTATGAAGTTCTTCATGTCTTCCTTGAAATTTGCCATCTTTATTAGTAAACTTAGTAGAAGAGCTTAGTGAAATTAAACGTTAAGAACATAGTTGTTTTCATGTGAACAGACTCTTCTTTGCTAAGTCCTTGAAATGCATTCACTTTAAAGGCATGCTAGTGATTAGTCAGCGTCAGCCCGTCTCCACCATCACAAGCTTTGCGGAGCGGCCATGAGTGAGTGTTCATGTGTGCTTGTGCTGAGCACTTTGCCAGGGTGCTGGTGAAAATAATACTGGTTTTCTGTGGACTTTTTCTAAACTCAGGTGAAATTCCTGGTGGAGGTAATAGGAGACGAGGGGGTTAAGATGATGGCCCTGATTATAAAATATACCAAGTTGATCTGTATATAACAAATTTCTTAGTAATAGGTGACTTTTCTGACTAAAAATTGACTTCTGCCTTTTAATGACTAAAAATATTTATGTTTTTACTACCTGTAGAATATCGTGTTGTTGTTGACTGTAGTTATCTTCTTAGGTATAGCTAATGAAATAACTCAGTGCAAAGGAATAGCTTATTAATTCTGTAATTTCTCATTTCGGTTGTAACAGATGATGGTTCATCACCAGATGGTTCAAGAATAAATTTTTGTAAGCCATTGTGAGTAGAGTTCCTTCTTTGAACTCTAAGAAACTAAAGATCTAGTTGGCGTTTTATTTATTTTCCTTTACCATTTTTTCAGTTAAATTGCTGTGTCCAAGTCAGGGTTCACTGAAGTGTGAAACTTGTTCGCTCAAGAGGCTTAGGCTAAATTGAGTGTAGTTTTTATTGTAATTCCTAGGTAAGGCTTATCTGAATCATTGTTTCATGTTGTTGATAGCTTTATACGGTGTATTTTTCTTTCCTTTCTTTTAAAAGTTACTAAGAATTTGAAGTATGCACTGTGTACCTTTTTCAGTATCTTGAGTCCTAGAAATAGACCACTTTGTATAAGTTTTTAATATTTCATTCCCTTGTTTACAAGAATAAACTTGAGTTAAAAATCATCTGACAAGTTCCTAATATTTCATTTTCCTAATAACGAGGAGAATCTTATTTCTAATCTCAGGCCTGAAAGTAAGCAGGAACCAGTGAAAACGGAAATGGGTCCCCCGCCCTCTCCAGCCTCCACATGCAGTGATGCGTCCTCAATTGCCAGCAGTGCGTCAATGCCGTATAGTAAGTTTTATGTGTAGTGTGTGTACCTTGGTCAAAATCAGGCCCCAGGCAGACAGCTGTGTTCAGTCTGGGTATGATTTGAGGCAGCTCATATACCATTTTCAATATCTTTTCATATAAGTTGTATTTCTACCAGTTTCATTTGTGTGTTTGTGTGTGCAGCTTTATTTAAGTGAAAAAAAAAATGGTATTTACAGTGTTGCTATTCCTTTTGTTTTTGAGCGTTAATAGTGTTTTATAATTTGTAAAATGCTTCACAGTAATAGTGGGAAATAACTGCCACTAATTAGAATATCCGTCCACCGTTTTTGACTGTTTTTATTGTAAATTGGTTATGGCTCGGTCACAGTTTTTGCTCAGAATTTGTAGAATTTAGGAACCTAGACTCACTATTGCACCTTGGATTTAAAGAGTTTTTTGAAAGGTCCTCAAGGTAAACTTATTTTATAATATATTTGCTTTGCACCTGAGGAAACCGAAAGTTAGACTTTCAATAGTTACATGATAGTTTTAAGAATAGCCTAACAGATCTTTTATTTTAAACCTTGGTCAGATAACTCTAATTTTAAGGGTTCAAAATAAGTTTTTTATTTCTTCTTTGTGGTGTTTGCAGTAGTGTTAATATCAGTAGGCATTAACAGGTATGGTTATTTTTCACTATGAAGTCCTTTGAAGTGGAAATTGGTCATAAAACATCATAAAGCAGTAGTTCACAGAATTGTTATTTAGATATCTCAGTTATGTATCCCTTTACAGATGATTTTTTTGTTCATATATTTAGATGAAATCTATAAAGTCTCTTTCACATTTTCTTTTTGGTACTTACCATTTTGTTGTTGTCTAAGAACGACGACGGTCCACCCCTGCCCCGAAAGAGGAGGAAAAGGTGAACGAAGAGCAGTGGTCTCTTCGGGAAGTCGTTTTTGTGGAAGATGTTAAGAATGTTCCTGTTGGCAAGGTTTGTTTAAGATGGCTAAGAATTATTTGCTACAAGAATTAGAACAGTATTGGTTATCCAAGACTTTATGGTTGGTGAGTGAGTGTTCAGCCCTTTCCTCAGCGCTGCTCCGGTTATCACTTTCAGGGAGCCCTTAGCCTGTTGCAGATGTCTTCTCCATCATCTCTGCCCCTGAAGATGAATAGGTGACTAGGGGGCCTCTGCAGCATTTATGGTGATATATTGCTTTCTTTAAAGAAAGGTGTCATTTTGGAATAATTTTAGGTTTGCTGAAAAGTTGCAAAGAGATTATATATGTATTTTTTGAGATTATGTTACTCCATTCTTTGGAACTGTTAGACAGTGTTCTGAAGGAGGGATCCATCTTCCATAACATACTTAAAAATCTTTATTGTCTTCAAGTCCCCTTCTAGTTTTCTTTTCCCTTCTTTCTGGAGAGGGTCTCGCTTTCTTAGAAAACAAGTGGGTAGAGTCCATCAGCTGGAATGCCATTAATTTCACCTTTCCCTCCACACATACTGCAAAACAAAATGGATCTCTAGCCGCAGAGTATCTGCAAAGTAAAGGTTTTTCTGACTGCCCATTTGTTTCTGAAATTGATGGTCTTTCATTTGTACTTAAGGGGAAGAGTAGGCATGCCATCCCCTGTAGTTTACAAAGGCCTTTTCCACACGCTGGTCCATTTGGTTCTCAAAGTAGAACTGTAGGTTCTGGGCACGTGTTTCCTCTGAGAAGATCACACTGGCTGAAAATCAGAAACAGCAAGTAGCAGAGGTAGCACTCAAGTATTCTGGTCTCAAGTCCTGTGCTTGTCTTTCTGTATATTGCTGAGTGTCTCCCTATGTTGTCCCAAACGGTAGCCACTAACTATATATGTGACTAGTTAAATTTATTAAAATTAAATAACATAAAAAAGCTCTTTAGTCACATTAGCTCCACTTCAGGTGCTCAGTAGCCACTTACGGCTCTAATATCCACCATATTAGGCAGTGCAGATTTAGAACATTACCATCATTACGGAAGTTCTTTCACACAGCAGGGCTCTGAACTAATAAAGAGGAAGGATGGGAGAATTTCATATTTTCAGCCGATTGCTAAACATCTACTGACTGTAAGCACTAGCTATGTGGGTCAGTTCTCTAGTGAGCCTCAAATATAGACGTCAACAGCAAAGCTTTGGTGAGTCTGTTTAGGTTAATTTTTTCCCCCAAGTTCAGGTTAATTTTATAACTTGGTGATCATTAAAGAAATAAAAGAAATTAAATGCCTTCAATGTTAATAAATGAGTTCAGTGGATATAATTTGCATATTAATTTCATATAAGTTGGTGTTAATATCCAGCATATTTGCCTATACTTCTAGGTGCTAAAAGTGGATGGTGCCTATGTTGCTGTAAAATTTCCAGGAACGTCCAGTAATACAAACTGTCAGAGCAGCTCTGGTTCAGATGCTGACCCTTCTTCTCTCCTGCAGGATTGTAGGTTACTTAGAATTGATGAACTGCAGGTAGGTGTAGAGGGATCACTCAGCAGGTAAATGTTGGGACTGACTACTTGAGTGTATTACGGAGTTTGAGAGCAAGTTTCCTTTTGTGTCATGTAGGTCGTCAAAACTGGTGGAACACCAAAAGTTCCTGACTGTTTCCAAAGGACTCCTAAAAAGCTCTGTATACCTGAAAAAACAGAAATATTAGCAGTGAATGTGGATTCCAAAGGTAAAGATTCTGTAACTTTCTCAACTGGCGTACTTTATATCCTATTAATACATGTGTAGTAAGTGGATATAGGATAAAGTGGTTTGAGGTGTTTGGCAGTTTTTGTCCCTTGTATGTAATGTTATAGAATAAAATGAATCTACATTTCAAATGTGACCAGAGATGTTAAAATTTGGTAGGCACTAATTAGAGATTACTAAAGAGGTATAACATTTTTTCTTAACATTTATGTTTTCTGAAGGTGTGCATGCTGTTCTGAAGACTGGAAATTGGGTACGGTACTGTATCTTTGATCTTGCTACAGGAAAAGCGGAACAGGAGAATAATTTCCCTACAAGCAGCATTGCTTTCCTTGGTCAGAATGAGAGGAACGTAGCCATTTTCACTGCTGGACAGGTACAGAGCTTATTTTTGCTTTTAAAATTTGGTAGGACAACATTGACATTTTTGTAAAGCCTAGGGCTGGGCTCTAATTTGCTTGTTATTACACTATTGAAGAATTTAGAATATCAAGCACAATTAATACTGCATTTCTTATTTGGTCAATATAAACTAATCTGATTTGAAAATAAATATACCTCTTGTAAAAGTCAAAGATGCATTTTTGATTGGGAGCCAAATTTTATTATTTTCCCTCTTTTGTAGGAGTCTCCTATTATTCTTCGAGATGGAAATGGTACTATCTACCCAATGGCCAAAGATTGCATGGGAGGAATAAGGGATCCTGATTGGCTTGATCTTCCACCTATTAGTAGTCTTGGAATGGGTGTACATTCTTTAATAAATCTTCCTGCCAATTCAACAATCAAAAAGAAGGCTGCTATTATCATCATGGCTGTAGAGGTAACTTGACTTTGGAAACTATGTGGCATTTTAATCACAGGATAGTGCTAGAATCTAGGGAAAACAATCTTTGAATAGATTATTTGTTAACCCTCTGTATAGTGGTAGTAGTCTATGAGGACAAGAGAGATGAGTGAACCAAAGATGACAGTGTAAGTGTTTAAGTCATGCACAGTGTTGTAGGAGCATGGGGGTGGGGCATATAAATCAAACTGTGACTGGAGAGAAGACTTCTCTGAGGAGGTGATGCCTGAATACAGCTTTGAATTGTCAGACAGGAAGACTGAAGGTGGGAGGTGTTATCCCTAGCACTAAGAACAGCCTTTATGAATCTCAGTACGTTGGGAGATCGTGTACATTCTGTTGATAGAACCAGAAGATAGGGCGCATATGGGTCAGTGAGTAACAAGTGCAAAGTCTGGAGAAAGGCACTAGGGCGCCTTGTGTGTTAACCTAAGGGGTGTGAGCTTTCCCCTGACAGCTAGGAGGAGAAGGATTTTAAACTGGCTGTAGAGACGAGATAAAAAGGCTCATGAAGTTATCCAGGTTAGAAACGAAATAAGCTTGAACTCTTGGAAATGAGGAAGAGGGGATGGATTCAAAGAGATCTTCAGGAAGTAGAAGCTCTAAAGTTTGGTGCTGGTCATCAGCAGTAAATGGCAGGAAGGAATTACAAAGCTCCTGATTTTGGTGTGGTTGGTGGGGAGAGGAAAAAATAGTAGGAGGAACAAAAGGGATGACGGAAAAGGCTGAGTTTAGTTTTGAACATGTTATAGAGGAGGTGTTTGTTAGATGAAAAGGCAGTACCCCCAGAACTTATTGGAGCAGAGTTTGACCTGATTTGACTTGAATTTTCAAAGGATCACTGTTGACCTGCTGAGAATACTAGGGGGCAGTTTGGAAGTCGGGAGGCCTGTGAGGGGGGCTATTCAAATGGTCCAGGTGGGAGGGGATGGTGGCTTGGCCCAGGAGGTGGAGTTATGAGGGAGAAGGGATTTGATTCTAGGTATACTAGATACGGCTGATGGTAGAGCCAACAGGATTTGCTTATGGCTCAATATAGGTGTCAAGTAGAGGAAGCAAGAGGGCCAAAGGTTTTGGAGGAATGAAGTTGGCATTTATAGAGATGGAGACTAGGGATGGAGCAGGTTTGGGACAGGGGGGAGGGGCAGACAGCAGGAGTTTGGTTTTAGACATGTAGAGTTTAAGGTGCTTATCAGATATCCAAGAGGAAGTGGTAAATGGAAAGTTAGATCTGTAAAGTCTGAAGACCCAGAGCAAGATGGAGAATTAGACTTAGAAGCTGACAGTACATCTGTGATACTAGAGGAATTACACTGAATGAGATTATCAAGGTCATGGAGAAGAAAAGAGGCCTAAGGATTGAGCCATGAGATTAGTATCAGCATTTAAATGTCCAGGGAGAGGGGCGCCTGGGTGACTCAGTTGGTTAAGCGACTGCCTTCGGCTCAGGTCATGATCTCGGGGTCCTGGGATCGAGCCCTGCATCAGGCTCCCTACTCAGCGGGGAGCCTGCTTCTCCCTCTCCCACTCCCCCTGCTTGTATTCCTTCTCTCGCTTCTCTCTCTCTGTCGAATAAATAAATAAAAAAAAAAAAATAAATGTCCAGGGAGATTAAAAGGAACCTGCATAAGAGACGGAGAAGGAGCAGCATCCACAGGGGTTGGAGGAAAACTAGAATGAGTGTTGTCTTGGGAGCCAGGTGACGAGTATGTGTCAAGCAGGATGCAGTGATCAACCACGTCCAGTGATGCTGTAGGCCAGGCAAGGCAAGTACTGAACGTGACTGGGGATTTGGCTCCATCTGGGTCATTCTTGACAGCAGGGATGAAAGCCTGATTAGAGTGGGCCAAGGAGAAAATAGACAACTCTTGTGAGGAGATTTTCTATAAAGAATGGAAATAGAACTTGGTATGGGGGCTTACTTACCCTCCATTAGGTTGGAGGTGAAAGCAAACTTGTTAGAATTGCATCTAAAATAGTCTGAATCCAGGTACTCCTGAGAGCTACCTGTAAGCTTGTTTAGAGACACGGTATTCATATTCTTGGTTTAGTTTTGATTGTAACCTGTTAAGACTAGAGGTTCCAAACTGGTAGGGGTATGGTTAAGGAGGTGGCTGTGGCCTGAACTTGACCCCTAGAAATAACCTTCATGTCATTTTAAAATTCTTGATTGGTTGCCAACATTAAAAAATCACCGGATTTTTCTTTAAAATCCAGATTTTCAGTTTTTAAAAAATGGGAAGATCTGGAAACATTAGGCCATCAAAAAGCCATTAGCGTGCCCCCTTTAGAGGCTGTATGTGGTTTCTCCAATTTATTGCAGATCCCCATACTTAATTGCTCTGAATGTTGCCCTTTATTTATGATACAGTTTGTGTTATCTCTTTACCCCCAGCCTCCTCCATTCATTTGTATTACTTCGGAGACTTATGTAGGTATTTGATTCTGTGACCCCTGCACTCTGTCAGCATCTCAGGGGTAAAGATAAAATGTGTCATCATCCCATGGGTAGGGATAAAGTGTGCCATCATTTATCTTTGTACCTCAGTGAGCTGGGCTTGGTGCACAGTAGACCTGCGAGAAATGTTTCACTGAATTCACTCTGCCTTTTGCTATAAATAAGTAACGAATACAACATATAGTGATGCCTAGTAAACTCTTGCTTTTAACACAGTAAGTGTGGTATTGATAACTGTCAGAGTGAGAGCCCGTGTAGAGCGGGTTGGAGATGAGAGTTCCCTGTAGCTGCTTCCAACCAGCTGACTGGCTGATGGCTTGAAAACCTTCTGTGTTACAGAGTATGCAGCAGGGTATCTTGACTTGAACTGGAGCTTACAGTGTAAGGGCTCAACTCAGTGTCTTAGTGCCACAGTCAAAATGGCCTGTCGCACATGCGGCAGGTACTGAAAATGGTTTTTTGTTTTTTTTTTTTTTAAAGATTTTATTTATTTATTTGAAGAGAGAGACACAGTGAGAGAGGGAACACAAGCAGGGGTAGTGGCAGAGGGAGAAGCAGGCTTCCCGCCGAGCAGGGAGGCCGATGCGGGGCTCGATCCCAGGACCCTGGGATCATGACCTGAGCCGAAGGCAGACGCTTAACGACTGAGCCACCCAGGCGCCCCTGAAAATGGTTTTTTAACTGTATTTTTTTGTCCTTCCTTCCCCGCCAACCCTCACTTTTACCTTTCCTCCTCTCCGTAAGATTGGGGGAAGGGATAGGTTATTTAAGTAGTTTGGGGGAGAGGTGGTAAGTTGTTCCAATACATCTTTCTTCTTCCCTTTGTATTCCACACACTCTTTTCCCAGTTCTTAATTCTAGTTAAAATGAACAAATTTACTTGTTTTCCAAAACCAATGCATTATATTTGGTCCATAAAAATCCCTTAACTACAGTTTTACATTCTGAAAGAAGTACATTTGAACTCCTTGATTTATTCATGCTGTGTATTTGTTCAAGTTGCTATAGATTAAACTGGCTTATAAATAACAGAAATTTCTTAGAGTTCTGGAGGCTGGAAGTCCAAGATCAAGGTGTGGGCAGATTTGGCGTCTAGTGAGGGCCCACTGCTGTTTCATAGAGAGCCATGTATTCTCATGTGGTGGGAGGGGAGAAGTCTTGTCTCTTTTCTCAAAGGTCCCACCTCCAAATATCATTACACTGGAGATTAGCTTTCAACATATGAATTTGGGGGGCCATAGATATTCAGTCTGTTGCATGCTGTTTCTCAGGTAGTTAATGAAATGTTCTGTAAATTATTAATATTACCATGTCTTTGACAGTGAAGTACATTAGTTGTCACCTCTGAGGGATTACATCTGTCATGATTTCTGGGGGAGTTGAAGGTTTTGGTTTTCATGTACCACATGTGATATAACTTTTCATGACCATAAGAGGGTATGAGTAAGCCTATATGAAATATATAGAATGTATACCCTTTGCGTAACTGATTAACAATACTAATAGGATTCTAATTCAGTAGTTACATAAGATCTAATATAAACCAGGAGTTGGCAGACTGAACTGCAGGCCAGATCCAGTCAGTGTCATTCATTTGTGTATTGTATATGGTGGCTTTCCTGCCACAGCCAGAGTTGAGTTAGTTGCAAAAGCTGAAAATACTTACTGGTCCTTTACAGAAAATGTATCCACCCTTTTCTATTCCTGTCAGTTGTATACTGTGCTTAAAGGGTACCCTTAATTTTAACTCCTTTGACAGGCTACCTTGTCTCTACTTACTTTCAGAACTGATTATATTATTGTGTGAAATTATAAAATGAGGAATTTTTGACATGTGTAATATGCTATTCAAATTCATTGAAGTTTTTTCCCTAATTTGTCTGAGCACAGAAACAAACCTTAATGCAGCACATTCTACGCTGTGACTATGAGGCCTGTCGACAATATCTTATGAATCTCGAGCAAGCGGTTGTTTTAGAGCAGAATCTACAGATGCTACAGACATTCATCAGCCACAGATGTGATGGAAACCGAAATATTTTGCATGCTTGTGTATCAGTTTGTTTTCCAACCAGCAATAAGGAAACTAAAGAAGAAGAGGGTGAGAATAAGAACTATAACAAGGTCTTTAAAAGGAATTTTAGGCAGTTTTGAAAATATAGCAACTATTAAAGGAAAGAAAAGGAAATCAATATGAAGAATTTGTGTGTACTTTTTCTTTGTTTTGTAAAACCTAGGAGTTTCAACATTCTTAGAAGGTAAAGATGTCTGTCCTCTTGTTAGGATGAGTATGTAACATAAGCAGATACCTTTTTATCGGTGTGTTGTTGTCTTGAGTTATGTTATCTGATACATATAAACCATATGTCTAATACTTAATGAGATTTACTGATTTTATAATAGCCGATGACTTTTATTACCATGAGAATTATTTAGCTAGTTAAGGCAAGTTATACTGAAGCAACTTTTATCCCAATTTTCAGAATGTAGAGGGAAAACAACCTAGTGAGTTATGAGATGTTTTTGGAAAAATATGCTTTTTTGCCCTAAAGGTTTTAATTGGTTAAATGGGGAAATCTGCAAGCCTAAAGTGCAGTTGTGTGGTTCATAATGTTTTTCCTGATTCTAAATTCCGCCGATGATACTCTGGTAGCTACATTTTTGAGTAGTGGTTTTGCAGGTTTTTCTTTCTTTTTTTTCTTTTTCTTCTTTTTTTTTTTTTGGTTTGCAAGTTTCTAACCTTTATTTCCTTGTCGTTAAAGGAGGATGAGTAGTATATAAGCGAAGACTGAGGTACTGAATTGTGGGTCTTTTTCTTTCTTGGTAGTGAAAGCTAGATTTCAGTCTACTTATGAATAATCTTATTTTTTAAACTTTAGGGGTTGAAAAGTAAGGCAGAATAAGGAAATAATTCACATATTAAAGGTCATAGTTAAATCTGTCTTAAGTGTCCGTTGCTCCAAGGAGGAAAAAATTAAGCTATTCATTATCTCTAGTATGTAAATTAAAGTACTAAAATACATAGCAGTTAGCATTTAAATTGATCCTAATTTCTTCTCTTATGTTTCAGAAGCAGAGCGCTCTGAAAGAAATACATTTGCAGAAAGGCTTTCTGCTGTTGAGGCCATAGCAAATGCAATATCAGTTGTTTCAAGTAATGGCCCAGGTAATCGGGCTGGATCATCAAGTAGTCGAAGGTAATGTGATTTTTACCAGGAAAGTTTAATTGGCGGAAACAGAATCCAAGTACAGAAAAATGTATCTCTTACCTGTCATATGCATGAATTGGTGGGTCCTTTTGCTTTGTTTTTGTTCCTTCCAATATCACCCTGGGCAAAAGATCTGATAATATCTAATTAGATTTTAAGTGTAGAACAGAAGGATCTAGGTTGCTTCAAAAATTTGAGATAATTTAGACAAGTAGTTCAACCTTGGTTCTTTGAATGTGTTTTAAGTTTATCATTCTTGTTTCCTAGGAAGTTATTTTCTTTAGTTGGAGAACAAGTAATAACAATAATCAAAAGAACTTCAATCTTTTATTTTCAGATTACTTATTTAGGTCAATTTCTCAGATGTATTAATGATCTGGGAAGAAATGAAAGGCTGGTGTGTATTGTAAATGTTGCTATTTTAAATTTTCAGGCTCTCTGGGTTGTGGGATGGACAAACCTTAATAACACATAAAAAATTACTAGGTGTTTGAATAGATGAAGAATATAAAGAATTCAGGATATAGTTGTTTTGTTTTTTGTTTTTTGTTTTTTTTTTCCTGAAGGAAAAAGCACGTTTATATTAGACACGAGAGCCAGAGTTCTTGGACACTTGACAGAACATTGACGGAAGCACTGCTCACTGTGCTAATGTGATAGCTTGTAAAGTCTACTTAAAATGAAGACTTCTCTTTGCCTATTTTCTGTTCCATATCCAGCTTTCCCTTTAAAAATGATTCTCCTAAAATTGATAGCTTCCCAGGTTCAAAAATGTCCTGAAGTGAGATTTATCACAAACTATTTATGGGTGACCAAATTATAATTTAAAACAGTACAAAGACCTTATGTAGACTATACAAAATGGAAATTATCACCAGCTATTTGTTTAGGACTACACTAGGCAGACAAAGTGTTTGGTCTAAAATGGAATACAACTTAAATTCTTCATGAAGAAATTAGTTTCTGAATTATTTCAGGTATTTCATTTCCTCAGGGAAAATACAGGTGCAGATCAAGTTGGACTCTGATATGGTTGGTCCAATGCCAGTGCTGCCATCTTTTTTTCATGTAAGGATTATTTTGAAGGCAAAGACTAAAAGGAGCTTCAAGAGTGGGTGATGTGTTGCTCACAGAAATAATTTGCAGAGTAAGCTCCTTTGAGGCATTTGCCGAAGATTTCACTGCAGTGCTCTTAACCAGTTCAAACTCAGGGCTGCCGGTTGAACAGATGAAAGCACAGGAGTCTTATTATCCACGCCGGGCAGTAGGAAGTCCACAGACTCTGCTTCATTGAAGTGAAACCCTCCTCTAGCCTACAATGGATTTTCTAGGCGATGCCCCTTGATGAGTATGCAGGCTGGGATTCATGAGCTGTAAGCTCAAAACTGATGCAATTTCAATATTGAATGGAGTACTGTTAAATGTCTTCAGATGATGATTTGACTCAGAAGTTTTATTATGTGACTCATAGTTCCTGAGTACAAAGGGCAGATTTAGTGGAAAGCTTGATTGATGCATCTGATTGCAGGTGTATGTACTCTAGAGATTGTTAATCTGGAAGACACATGACCTTCGCTTTTTTGTCACAGTGGTATGTTTGAACATGACTGGATTCTAAGGCTTCTGTAGCATGGATATAACGTGCTTACAAAGAGGAAATTACATCATCCTTGAATTCTTCCATATTGTCAGAAAATACGATGACTCCAGGCAAGCCTATACGAAGAAATGTCAAAACTCTGAATCTTAGCAGCCAAGGTGGTATCTCCTCAGTATTGTCCTCAGCCACTGAGGATACAGGTGAATCTTCATGAATTGTGTACAACATCTTGAAGAATAATTTTCTTTTTTTTGTTTTTTGTTTTTTGTTTTTAAAGAATCTATATGAGGAGCTGGGCATTGTACTTAAAAATGTTCCCGAGACCTAATGAAGAAAAGTGGTTAAGGACAATTTTTTAAAATGACAAAGGAATGACCCCCTCATTTAATATTGAATTGACTACATCACAGCAACAGAGTTGGGAGTTTGCAAGTTCAAGATGAGACTATGGTCTCAGTTTATCTTCATTTTATTGTTAGTCTACTCTAAGCTAGAAGTTGGAGAATAGCCCACATATGTTTTCTTTGGCCTGTGCACTGTGAAAATTTTTTTTCTTTAAAATTGGAATGCCTTTAGATAAGCATGTACGCCTCTAGTTTGCCATTACTCCCTACTCCTTAGACCCGACTGCCCTTCCCTCAGTTGATACTGCCTTCTTGGCCCAGTAGGCATTGAGTTTGTGACCCTGATGTAAACACTCTTTTTAATAGGCCCCGAACATGCATTTATTTTCAGGTTATTTGCAGTGCCTCCCACTAAACTGCTGATTCTCTCTCTCTCTCTCTCTCTCTCTCTGTTTTGAGTAAGATACACTAGGATACCAAGTGTCTGTGTTGAGCTTAATTAAGATTATTTAGGAACATCACAGTGTGAACAGTCACCCTGGTGTGTGCTGTTACCTGGTAAGGAGCCTGCCTTGCTCTCTGGGTGAGGTCTTCGGACAGAGAAGTGACCTCGACTGAAAGAATCCCTGTGCCCTGCTCCCCTCCATATTCTGAAAACTCTTAAACTCAGATTTCTAAATTGGGAGAGGGGAGACATCGATACCATAAAAAAACATTAACTGTAGGTAATTTTTGATAGTGAGTACTATAATAACTAATATATTGAGACATTAAAATTTACTTTGCAGAATCTTCCAAAGAATGTTTCTGTTCCTAGAGGTACATCATCATACATAAGCTTTACAAAATAGATGTGTTCCTGAAAGTAGCCTCTCAAAGAAATTTTTGTAAAAGCTTTTAAAAGAATTCCTTATAAATGGAAAGTGTATCGATATGGAAAACCACATTTACCCTCGGATTACACAACAGTTATAATTAGAAGATTCAAACATTAATAAAAATCTTTATAAATTACTTATTTGTAGATATATAATGCTCACCTGGTAAGGTGGTAGGTCTTTCACATCAGAGAAATGTCATGTCTTTGGGACTAAATCTGCATGGCGAATGAAGTCCCTTATGTGGTACCTGGCCCTTTGATAATTGGATTTTTAGTCTTTATTCATATAGAGACTCTAAAACTGTGGCTGGTGGAAGGGATTTGCCTTATGTGCTCTCTCTTAATTGCCGTTAGCTTGTAACGTTAATTTTGTAGGCTTTGTAAGCTTTTGTTCAGAGGTACAGATTTGATACAGGTAGTTAGCAGTTCCCCTAACAAGGCCTGTGTTTGTGATTGTTGCCTTTTCTTTTAGTGATGTGCACACCTGTGCAGTATTTTTTTTTTTCTTGTATAGCAGGAGAAAAAAAACATCACGCCCAGACATTAATCTAACAACACATTTTATAAGCTCCAGTTTCATTAATTTCCTTGGGATGCAAGTTGTACTGTTAAAAAAAACTTTTTTTTTTTTTGGTATAAAAAATAAATCTAAATTGGTCTTTGTTTTAAAACTACTCATTGTGTGGACATTAGTTCAATTGCTTTTGAGATCACAGCAAAGGGATTTTATTTAGTGAGTTAACAATATCGGTTTTGTGCTAATCAGTATGTTTGCTGATGTCTATTATTAAACTTAATTCTTACTGATTATAAACAGGGGACAGAAATTTTTTTTGTCTTAACGTTCAGCTTGTTCGTTTACCTTAACTGTATGAAAGATTATTTTCTAATCTTTACTGCAAGTTTTGTTCCCTGTGCTTAAGTTTGTGTGGGAGCTTAATATAGTGGTTTTAGTGCTGAACTGGGTGCCCCCAGTCTCATTTCTATCCCTCACTGACTTTACTCTGTGATTCCAGAATTGGCATTTGTACTTCACTTCCCTTGCCTGGAGTATTTGCTTATAGAACAAACTTTGATCTCTGATGAGAAGTTCTGTGCACCTTTTCATCACATTTAGCCATGGTAGTGAGCTCCAATTTTGTCCATGTTCTTCTAGTTTGAGATTACGGGAAATGATGAGACGTTCGTTGAGAGCGGCTGGTTTGGGTAGACATGAAGCTGGAGCTTCATCCAGTGACCACCAGGATCCAGTTTCACCCCCCATAGCCCCCCCTAGTTGGGTTCCTGACCCTCCTGCGATGGATCCTGGTAAGATCTGTTATTTTGTTTAGTGTTTAACAAAAAAAAACAAGGTCCTAAAAGAAAGGAAATTGAACATTTTAATGGGTTATTTAGAAATCTGAAGTATTTAAAAGTAGTATAATGAGCAAACTGTAACTAATTTAGTTGTAGAGCTTTGGTTTAGGGGGTATATAACTTAAAACTTAAAATTCTAGAAGCTATTTCATTGCAATACAGATTTCCCTACTGGCAAGAAGTTAATTAGTAATACATCACAAGAAGTCAGTAATTGGTCTAGTGGATTCCTTCTCTTATAGTTCGGGAAACAAATTTCCACTTAGATCTCTGTCCAGTTTGACCTTTGGCTTGCAGAGAAAAGCCTTAAGGCCGGTTAAGAGAACGGGTTAGGGATATGCTGCCTATAATGATGTACATCCCGCTGTTCTGTTTACTGAAAGATGGTGACATTGATTTTATCCTGGCCCCTGCTGTGGGATCTCTTACCACAGCCGCGACTGGCACCGGCCAAGGACCAAGCACCTCCACCATTCCCGGTGAGAATCTGTACCGCTTCACCTGCCTGGGCGTTCGGGTTTCTCCAGGTCCGCACTGCTCTCGAGGGGACTCCCTTACCTTGAGAAACATCTCATTCTCTGCATTAGATCCTCCATTATGTCAGTGAGATTGGGATGTGTATGAACATACGTTTCATCCGTTGGGAGTTGTAAAATGTGTTCATGTGTTTAAATTCTCTATAATGACATTATTAATTTATTGCTGATAGTAGACTATTTTTCGGGTGCTTATTTAATAGATACTTGGTATGTTACTCCAGAATATTCTTTTAGTCTGCCTTGTTTACTCTTGTCACCAAATGGATCTGCTTGATTACAGGTCCTTCCACAGAGCCATCTGTAGTAGAATCCAAGGATCGAAAGGCCAATGCTCATTTTATATTAAAATTGTTATGCGACAGTGTTGTATTGCAGCCCTATTTACGAGAACTCCTCTCTGCCAAGTAAGAAGTTTAATACACTTTTGATACAAAGATTTAGCTGAGCTCCTTTTACTATTTAAGTTGATCTTGCAGTGTATGGACAACAGTTACCTATGTGAATTTAAAATAATCAGGATCTAGCATTGTATTCCCTCTGTAATTAACCAAGCTCTCTTCAGTGAAAGGCCTTTCTTGGTATAATTCAATGTACACTAAATGAATACAAACCAATTTTATGGAGCTTGATTAGGAGATAGATATATGTATGTTTAAAAGATCACAGTATAGTTATTCTCAAATGTGAATTCATAAATTCTATCACTGTCACCTGGAGAAATTTAAAAATGACACAGATTTGTCCCCAAGCTTTGCACTAGAAGTATGACTGAGTAGGTCTGGGATGGGGCCTGGATTCTGTATTCTAAAACTCTGTGGATGATTCTGATGGTTTCTTTGGACATCTTTTTTGGCTTGCGAAATCGCAATGAGATTATGCAGAGTTTTTGATAAGGGTTGTGTGGCGAATGCTCATTAGCCATTGACAGATTATAGCTCTGCTTTCAGCCTGATTGTTTATGTTCCTTTACAAACTCGTAATAATAAGCATTTTTATAAAAGTTAGCTCTTATCTGTGCCAAACTGTACTTGTATTAACTCTTCTACTTCTAGCAATAGCAGCATGGAGTAGGTAATATTAGTTCCATTTTCTATTTGAAGTAATGGTCTTAGAGGTTAATTAACCTGCCCAGGGTCACGAAGCTAGTGCATGGCACAGCTGGAATTCCAACTGTGGTCTTTGTCTTGATTCCAGAATTGAGACTCACAGCCATCACTCTTACACTACCTCTTCCTATTTAAGAACAGGAAGGTGTTTTGAGTTTTTTATTATTGAGGGCAAGGGAATTTTTGTTTAAGGCTTATTGGCCTTAGGCCATAATGACCCAATGTATGAACTTTTGATTACTTTAATCAAGGCTGCCCCACTAGTAAAATAAGTCACTGAATTGGAAATAAATTATTACTCCAGAAGCAGCTTACTAATTTATTAGTGGTTTGAGGCTTAGATAAAAATGATATATATACAAATCAGTTTTTTCTCTTTTTATTTTCTCACTTACCAGTTTTAGTTTCTATTTATGGTGTTTTTAAGGATATTATTTTGTATCATTTCCTCCGGCATTTGGTGTTATCTAAAAATTTGTTGTATGTTCTTTCCTTCCTTCCTTCCTTCCTTCCTTTTTCTTTTCTTTTCCTTCCTTCCTTTCTTTTTCTTTCCTTTCCTTTCTTTTTCTTTCTTTTCTTTTGTCTTCTTTTCTTTTTTATTAGAGGGACGCCTAGGTGGCTCAGTCGGTTAAGTGTCTGCCTTTGGCTCAGGTCATGATCCCAGTATCCTGGGATCGAGCCCCTCATCGGGCTCCCTGCTCAGTGGGGAGTCTGCTTCTCCCTCTCCCTCTGCTGCTCCCCCTGCTTGTGTTCTCTCTCTCACTCTCTCTCAAATAAATAAAATCTTAAAAAAAAAAAATTATTTTGCTCCTTGGTAAAAGAAATGGATGTTCATGATGAAATAAAAAAGTAGTTCTGCTGTATTAAATAATAATGTCCTACCAGTCAAAGAAAATCACTGGCGGTATTTTCTAGTTTCCTACTATCTCATTTAAGAAATAAAGCCACCTCTCTAAGAATCCTTGTCTCTCTCAAACCATGCTCTCCTTTCTTGGCCTTAGTGACACTAAAGAATAGGTCATCAAGGGCTCTAGAGTCAAACTAATATTTTCTAGATGTGGGGATAGTAATAGCCTCTATCTCATACAACTATGATGAGGATTAAATCACTTATTACCTTAAAAGCTTTTAACACAATGCTTAGCAAATAAAACGTATTCAATAAATGTTACTTGTTATTATTATGTATTTTCTCTTAAAAATGTACTTGTTATTTGTTTTTTTATGTATAATTGTTCTCATTTTAGGGATGCAAGAGGGATGACCCCGTTTATGTCAGCTGTAAGTGGCCGAGCTTATCCTGCTGCAATTACCATCTTAGAAACAGCCCAGAAAATTGCAAAAGGTAATTTATTTCAGGTCCTGAAAGAGTTGCTTATTTTTAAATTTGAATAGATTCTCTTCTACATGTATAATATTATTCAAACCTAATTTCTGTGTCTTGAAATGATATAATTGAGTAGAAACTATCAGTTTATTCTTTTGTGCATGTGCATTTGTGTGTAAAATTCATATGTTTGCATTTTTTCCAAGTATTGTGTCTTCTAGCTTTCCACCAAAAAAGCTGGTATAATTTTTTAAATTTTAAAAAAAATTGCATAGTGGATAATGTAGCGACTAATATTTTGAAAATAAAGATGGATTACTGATAGAACCTGTCAGTGGTTAATTGGTGGTAGTGATAAAATTTTATAGAAATAACAGGCCAGATGTCTTACTGTTCTTCCTTCTGACTTGTAATTCCTGCTTAATAGAATGCAGTAAGGAATATCAGTTCCTGCCGTCCAGCCTTTAAAAGACTAACATAGTTAAAAAAATAAAATAAAATAAAAAATAAAAGACTAACATAGTTTAAAATACTGGCTATAAAATTTTTGTGATTGTAGTTTGTTAAATAGAGCTAGAACTTTAATAATGTAGAGCTATGCATTCAGCTGATGTGTGGTGTATTGCTGTCATGTGGTTATGATATAATTACACTTTGCTTTTTCTTTGTACGGGAATTGACTGAATTTCTTGCACATTGACTTGTATATCAATTTTTAAAATTAATATATAGTAGTTTTTTATTTATACTGTGTAAATGTTAGAGCTTTTGCATTTGAGTAAAGTAGTAGATGGCTGTGATTAAGGCCTTTCGTGATGCCTGAACTACTGTGTTCTTAAATCTTTTTAGCTGAAGTATCCTCAAGTGAAAAAGAGGAAGATGTATTTATGGGAATGGTTTGCCCATCAGGTACCAACCCTGATGACTCACCCTTATATGTGTTATGTTGTAATGATACCTGCAGTTTTACATGGACTGGAGCAGAGCACATTAACCAGGTAAGCTGTTTTTTATTTCCCTGTATTTATGCTGTCTTCAGGTATTCTTTTCCTTTCTCTCCTTTCACCATCACTGCATTATAGTTCTTAGCTCTGGAATTCTAACTGTAGTGTTTCCTTTTATTCTAAGTTATAAAATTCTCTAAAGAAAATTAATTTTTATTTAATTCGTAAATAAGTGAGGCAAAGGAGGTGACCGTTAAATTAGTTAGGCGATACCTCAAAAATGAGGTATCTTCACTCTAGTATAATCTAGTATAATCTGATCCATGGCTCTTGATATAGATTTTATAACTATAATACCTTTTTGGGGGAATGATATGAGTTATTTTTGCCCTACTGGTAATATTTGATGTCTACTTATATAATATTATAAAATGTGTATTCGCTGTACCCGTTTATTACTCTTTGTTTACAGAGCACATTAGTTTTGCTCTGTTTTCGTTGTGATTGACTTGTTTCAGAAAATACCAGAAATGATTATGATGATGAGATGTACATATATTCTTCTTTAAAAAAATAAATCCTTCAAATTTTAGGATATTTTTGAGTGTCGAACTTGTGGCTTGCTGGAGTCACTCTGTTGTTGTACAGAATGTGCAAGGGTTTGTCATAAAGGTCATGATTGCAAGTGAGTACAATTCTAGTTTTCTTTAATATTATAAATTGCTTAGACTCATATTGCTGTATTAAAATAATCTTTAACAGTATAATGTTCTGTTTCTTAATTAAGGAAGCATGAGGTTTTGTCAAGTTGTTCTCTTTAAACTACTTTATGTATTAAAATAGGGTTGTTGATTTAGAATGTACTTTGAAATGTTTTTCATTTGCTTTTGTCTGTATTCTCCAGCCAAAGTCTCAGGCCCCTGTAGTAGGGTCTGCTAGCAGGACATCACTGCAGGTATTAAGTGAACCATGGTGTATGTTTATTTACTCCTTAAAGTGAATGTAATAACCTTGCATCCAGCAATAGAGTTACCATGGCTAGTTTGTTAATTTTCGCAGACTTAAGAAGCAGTAAAATACTCCAGCATGAACATTTGCAGTGCCTCAGAGTCTCAGCAGGGACATCAGCTGTAACTGTGCTACAGTTGTGTAGATGTTATGGTTAACAGAGAATTGGTTTGTAAGAAGCCGTCTTTTTTGCTTTGAAATAAATGATATAGGACAAGTAGAAAATGTTTATAGATATTGCATTGGTACTTATTTATGATTTTTATTAAAAGAACTTTGGCTAATATGTTTGTTTTCCTTATTTTAAACTGTTTATTGTGCTAAAAGTGATAATCTGTTTATTCATTGATTGCTTACTAGGTGCTTTCACACACTAGGTGCTTGGGGGGTGGTGGACAAGAGAGTCCTTGTCCTAACAGGGTCCTTTGAGAGGACACAAGCAAGAAACACCTGCCCCTAAGGGTCTTAGGGTTTATTAGACGCCCATAGAAGGACCACCCACACTGAATGGGGGCTATGGGGAATTAAGGAAGACATTCCAAAGGAGGTGACTATACCCAAGTCATTGCAAGATCCCTCTTCTCATGAGAGTTGCTTTATGGACTTCATGCCACTAAGTAATCCTTCTAATTAAGTATGCTTTAAGAATTACACTTTGCATTTAAAAACTAACAGGGGTTCTATCTGGTGTCACTAAGTTATACTTCCGTAATTTCAATAGAGATCTTTGTGGGTTTTTTTAAAATTTCAGTTTTTATACTTGTGTATGGATTCTTTCTAGACTCAAACGGACGTCACCAACAGCCTATTGTGATTGTTGGGAAAAATGTAAATGTAAAACTCTAATTGCTGGACAGAAGTCTGCTCGTCTTGATCTCCTTTATCGCCTGCTCACTGCTACTAACCTGGTCACTCTGCCAAACAGCAGGCAAGTGGGATTTTTCAGGACGTAAATTGAAATGGCACAGCACATCTAAGTAGCCCTCCCCATCTCCCTGCTCACGACGGTGTTCCACTTTGCAGGGGAGAGCACCTCTTGCTGTTTTTAGTGCAGACGGTCGCAAGGCAGACGGTAGAGCACTGCCAGTACAGACCTCCTCGGATCAGGGAGGACCGTAACCGAAAAACAGCCAGTCCTGAAGGTGGGTGAGTCTGACAGTGCAGACGCATGTGAAAAGCATTACCTTTATTTCTCTCTTACTCACTAGTTCTCTCTCTCTTTAGATTCAGATATGCCTGATCATGATTTAGAGCCCCCAAGGTTTGCCCAGCTTGCATTGGAGCGTGTTCTACAGGACTGGAATGCTTTGAAATCTATGATCATGTTTGGGTCACAGGAGAATAAAGACCCGTATGTATTCATTAAAAACGTTTTAAATTTATGTATTTCCCATGTTAATATAGGTGACTACAGTGCATTGTCTTTCCTTCCCCTTCAAGTCTCAGTGCCAGCAGTAGGATAGGCCATCTTTTGCCAGAAGAGCAAGTTTACCTCAATCAGCAAAGTGGCACCATTCGGCTGGACTGTTTCACTCATTGCCTTATAGTCAAGTGTACAGCAGATATTTTGGTAAGTTCTTTCGATGTTTATATACAAGTACGTGAAAATGTTTTCTGACTTAGTTTCCCATAATTTTACTCACCCAAACTCCTAAGTACTGATGAGCTTTAATTAAACAGTACACTAAGGGGCATGGAATTTTGGGGGTGATTTAAATGACTCCGTTAACAACAGAAACTCCTTTCATTCTGAACAAAAATTCAAAAATGTGGCAAAAAGACAACAGTATACAAATGTATGGAACAGTGTTCAAAATTAATAGTAATGCAGTGCAAATTTTTGTTAAGTACTCCTTTTTGCTGTGAAATTAGAAAAGAATATAAACCATAAAACCTAGTGCTGGTGAGGTTATGGTAAAAAGAACAACTTCAGACACTGATGGGGTGGCATTGCACTTGATATTGTAGAAAACAACTTGGCAGTAATATCACGAGCCATAAAAATGTCAGTGCCCTCAGCGCTTATCATAAATAATTTTTGATATGAGAAAGAAAAAATCATGTCACAGAATAATAAAAGATGAAATACTTGATGGATCCACTAATAGTGGATTATTGAATCAAATTATAGCCCAGCCACTTGTTGAAATGTAATGTAGCAATTTAGGAATAGAAGTTATTTTAAGTAACACACACACAAAAAAACCCCCAAATAACGTGAAATTGGATGTTCTCTATAATTAATATGTATATGATAGACCATGCATAGAAAAGAGACGAGGAAGTAACAATACGAGAGGGATGGGATTTTGAATTTATTAATGTAAATATTTGAATCTACTTTGCTTTTTCAATATGTACCTTATAGTGAGTAAAATATATTCTTTCTTAGATTTTATTTTTCTTCTAAATATTGATATACACAGGACTATAAGACTAAAAAGGGAAATCAGACATTTGAGACCCAATGTAGGTCAGAGACATGGTAAGCATGTGGCATAAATTAATCACTGACATTAGAAATGTTTTGGTTAAATAATTATTTTGAGATTCTTATGAAATGTTAATATTGAACGTTAGAACTTTTTGCTTTATAAATATTTGTCTAAACATCTTAAGAGCTGTCTAAACATTAATAGAGTGATTACAATTTTTTTAAAGCTTTTAGATACTCTACTAGGGACACTGGTGAAAGAACTCCAAAACAAATACACACCTGGACGTAGAGAAGAAGCTATTGCTGTAACAATGAGGTTTTTGCGTTCAGTGGCAAGAGTTTTTGTCATTCTTAGTGTGGAAATGGCTTCATCCAAAAAGAAAAAGTAAGTCCTCCTTCTTGATTTGGGCTTTTGTATCCTTTTACACACTTTTTTTTGTGATGATGATAACATTGCGTGTATGAAAAATACATAAAAGATTCCTGGATTTTCTTTTTGCTCTAGCAACTTTATCCCACAGCCAATTGGAAAATGCAAGCGTGTATTCCAAGCACTACTACCTTACGCTGTAGAAGAATTATGCAATGTAGCAGAGTCGCTGATTGTCCCTGTCAGAATGGGGATCGCCCGCCCTACTGCCCCTTTTACTTTGGCTAGTACCAGCATCGATGCCATGCAGGGCAGTGAGGAACTGTTCTCCGTGGAACCACTGCCACCACGACCTTCATCTGATCAGTCTAGCAGGTAAATTTCCACATGGTAACAGGCTCTGATGAATTCTTCCTCGGGAAATACCGTTTGGCTTACTAAACCTTTGCATTAAGCACTCAGGTGGTGTCCATGATCATTTATGCAGTAAGTGGTAGAGATTTTATTGTGTTTGGAACATGTGAGAGCACTTGAAAAGTTATACATTGTGTCTACGCATCTAAGGTAACAGATACATAGTTGTGGGTTTTATTTTTGGTTTGGAAAAACGCTGTTTTTATTATGCCAGTAAAGTAATCTGGTAAGAAAGTTCAGACTTCTGTAGGCATCATTACTTCTGTCTTCTCTTACTTTAAATAAAGCCTGCTGTAAGGCCAACTTAAGGAATGAAAAGACCTATAACTTGCTCTGTATCCAAGGGCTCGGGCTAGGGGGCAGCTTGTTACTGTACAGTATGAATAACCAGAATGCTGGAATTTAAAAATAATTCTCTACAACCACCATATATCTAAGATAGGCCTAAAACAACTCAGTAACTAAATGGTTCTAGGTATAAGATTATTCTTAAATCTCATTCATCTTTTCCATTTGTAACTAGACTGTAAGCTCGTTGAGTCAGAATGTTTAGAAACTAAAATGTTCTGGTGTCGTTTAGCACAGTGCTTCTCAAAATTAAATATGCGTGCAAATCACTTGGTGGTCTTATTAAAATGCAGAGGCTGATTTTGAAGGTCTGGGTGGGCCTTGAGGTTCTGATTCCTTATAAACTCTCAGGTTGTTCCAGTGGTGCTGGTTTAGGGGCCACACTTCTTTGGTTTTCTCCAGTCTGATTTTGTCACTGTGTGTATGTATAATGATGTTTAATAAAGATCTTTGGGATTTAAAGACCCTCTTCTTCTTTTCCTGGAAAACATCACTGTGTTAGTAAGGAAGTCCTGCGTTAGTATTTGACACAGTTCCCAAGAATTCATTTCTGGGTTTCATCTGGGTTGCTGCGTTGAGTATCTGCGCTCTCACTGTGTTCTCCCTTTATTCCATGTGCCAGTATGTGTCCCAGCTTTCCCTTTTTTGTTAGGTCTCCTAGGATACCCTGGAATCTAAATCCAGGTTTGTCTGCCAAAGCCTTCCTGCAGTAGCCTTGTCACTGATATACTTCCAGGATTTGCTGAAAATGGTTACACATCAAACTGTGTATTTTCAGACTCACTAAATATACTTCATTATCCAGTGATTCTGTTAGCAAAATCTACTTGGGCTCCATAGAATGCTCCTGATCCTGATACCCTGTGAGGAGCCCTCTAGTTACTTAAGTGGTATTACTTTGTGAATTCTTTGTACCCTCTCCTTGGTTTTGTTCCAGAACATAAATTTTTTTTTTATCTGCTGAACAGACTTTGGAGTGATCTCATCTTTAAACAGTGCCGATGAGCCTGTTCTTACTAAGTATCAAGACTTTGTGTCCCCTTGCCAACTGCTTCTTAGGCTCTTTATTTAAGTATTGTGCACTCTTCAGCTCTCCTCTTCACTCCATTCGCCTTGATTGATTGTTGAGTCGAAAGTCTTCCCAGAAGGAGATCTCATTTGATAATCAGGAGAGATAATAGTGTAATGTTTTCTACAACTGTTGATATAATGTAGAAATCTTTCATTATAATACAGTACAATCACTCCTTCTTGTAAGGGTGTATTTTGATCAGTGTTCCAAGCATGTCTTAAATAAAAAGTACACACTTGACTAGTCTCTGTGGTTTCCCTTGTGTTGGATGGGGTAGATGGCATATATCATTCCACTGCGCATAAAGTTTTGAGTTTAGTATTTTTGCTTTTTCTGTTGCTGCCCTTCACCTCTTTAAAACTCTTAATGTCCTTATTAATAAACCTGTTTCTCTATCTCCATGCCTCATACAAAAACTGTTAGCTGAAATTTTATTATGAGCTAGGAACTTTAAGCATTGTAAATGTATTACCTGTCTTAATCTACCCAATAACTCTCATAACCACTATCATCATTAGATAATTCTAGACAGATTTTTTCCTTCTTCCTATACTCCTGAATATTAGATGGCAGAGTAGGGGGGAGATACTGCTTTTTTTAAGTTTTTATTTATTTGAGAGAGAGAAAGAGAGAGAGCACGAGCAGGGGGAGTGGGGGAGGGAGAAGCAGACTACCCACTGAGCAGGGAGCCCACCTCAGGGCTCCGTCCTAGGACCCTGGGATCATGACCTGAACCGAAGGTAGACACTTAACTGACTGAGCCACTTAGGCACCCGTTTGGTGCTTATTGATAGTGTTGAGGCATTGGATGAGTCATCACTGAAGCCCACCGTACCCTCACAGCACAAATTGTAGTCTGGAACTCTCATGAGTGCAGGTTTGTAATTAGAAGTTCTCTGAAGAGACATTTTTCCTGTCCCCATCCAGCCATGGCTGGTTATAGGCAGGTCTCTTGAAATCGGTTGCCCTTTCCTGATTTATGTTTGGCTTTATGTATGTGAGGGGGACAGAAGAGGGACTTTCTGTGATATAACTTCCTATTTTGCTTACATCCTAGACTGTCTCCTGGGAAATCTGTGGCTCCTTGAAACCCTTCTAGCCTAAGAGACATGAACAGATGCCTTTGGTGTAAATGGTGGCACCACTGCTCTTAAGCTTAGTGACATAGGATTGTTTCCCTTTATCACCAGGATAGTTGTGCTTTGTTTTTTACTATTTTATCTAGCATATTTAGGTGATCTACTCCAAGAGGGATTTCTCTGCAGTTTGGCAAATTGCTGGAACTAGAAGTTCCCAAAACTTAGAAGTATTTTAACAGCTCCTGTTAGACTGGGTTTCAGGACTGTAGTTGTGCCATGAAGTCTAGTGGGAAAAAAGTTGAATCGTGGTATGAAGAAAACGGAAGCTCCATTTCTGAATGGGGAGTTGGTAATGTATTTTGGGAATTAGTATCATACATACTTAGTGCATAACTCCTTTGAGGGGATGATAGATCTTATGGATGTTCCAGGATTTTTTTTTTTTTAAGAAATACCAATTACTTGTGGCTTCACAGATGTTGACTTTTTTAATACTGGAAATGTTGAAATCTTAGGTTGGAAATACCCTTTTCATCTTTTCAGATTTTCTTTTAGCATTCTCAGATGCTTTGTAATTTACTACCTCTGTGAAGAACCAGTTACTGAAATTTCTAGTATTAAACACCATATTGAGACTGCTTGTGTTTGAAGGCAAGAGTCTCTCAGTTGACTCTTCATGTGTAACTGGTTTGATTCTCCTTTCTAAGAGCAGCTGAGGTGAGGAAAGAACACTATCTGTGTAAACACCTTTAAAGGTCCTTTAACTTTAACCTCTTTTAGACTGTGTTTCTTAATCTGTAAATAAAGGATAATAGTAGGTCACAGGGTTGTTTTAACAACCCTCTTTTGATCAACTCTGACCTGGATTTTAAGCTGCATTCTCTCATTCTCCCCTTCCTTTTATAATGGAGGCATCTGTCCTTTCTTGGCTGTTTGCAAGGCAGATTTTTAGGGAAGTGGAACTATTTGGCCATCCACCTTTTTTGTTCGGATTCTGTTTTGAAATTACTTTGGAACTGACGTTTTTCCTCTACACAAAAGTCAGTGGTTAATAAGCTGATACAAAGTAGGTCATGTCAGGTCTCTTAAAAGAGTAGATCACTTGTAATAAGCACACTTATTACCATGCTTTGTTAATGGAGGAATGCCGCAGTTGGAACCTTTGGAAGTTGAGGACTGTTGGCTTTGAAAGCAGTGGAGAAGGAAAAATATTTCCTGTAGAGCATTTCAGTGGGAAGGACTCATAAAAGGATGTGCGTTAACAAATTTTTTCACTAATGACTTACTGGAAAGTAAAAACAGTTCTGAAATTTCTAAGTTAAATCTCTACGGTAAAATTAATTTCTTTGGGCTTTGTATTTTCTGACATACTATAGATTAATTATTGTTGGTTTCTAAGAAGCTTTAGGTCAGATTTAAAATAGCATCCTAGCAAGTGGGTCACGCTGAGTAGTGACACTGAGAAACGTAAAAAGCGTGCTGTGTGGCAGAGACGTGCCAGCAGCGCCCTCGGAAGCTCCTGTTTCTCCGCAGCTCCAGTCAGTCCCAGTCTTCCTACATCATCCGGAACCCCCAGCAGAGGCGCATCAGCCAGTCGCAGCCTGTTCGGGGCAGAGATGAGGAACAGGATGACATTGTTTCAGCGGACGTGGAGGAGGTGGTTGTAATCGTCTTCATTGTGGTAGACGAGAGGCTCTTGTGGGAGGGAAGGAGTTTTAGGAATAGTAGCTTACTGCCATTACATGTATTTGCTTCCAGGTTTTAGACTTTTGTTACATGTTGTCATTTATGGTCATACCTGTTAAAAATACTTTTAATAATCCTCGATTTAGTGGATAATACAAAATTGAAACATAAGCTTGTTTTTACTTAGGGTTAATAGAGAAGATATCCTCAGTGTTAAAAAAAAAAGGTTTAGTAGTTCTGGGCAATGTATTTGAAGGCAGAGAGGATACTGCATCTTCATTAGGTAAATTTTATAACTGGAAGTTTAAAAAACTTAAGTCTCTACACAATTGTTACACTTCTCATTTTAAGGTTCTGTCTATGGATAATAATTACAAACTTTAAGATATGTTGATGTAATTTTTGATAGCACGTTGTCACTAGCCAATGATTCAGACTCCTTAGTGTTAAAATTCTCTGTAGTTAGGGATCTTTGTATTGTAGTTACTAATTGCTGTGGAGGAATACTGGTAGAGATATGGGTTTATTATGTACTTTGATTGTCTACAAATAAGATTCTGGATTTAGGTTGAGGTGGTGGAGGGTGTGGCTGGAGAAGAGGATCATCATGATGAACAGGAAGAACATGGGGAAGAAAATGCTGAGGCAGAGGGACAACATGATGAGCATGATGAAGACGGTATGCAGGTTATTTGAGAAATTATTCAGTATGAATAAATCAGGTACCTTTAAGGATATTAATATAATACAGAGAAAAGCCCCATTTGATGTATAGTGAACATAATGTGCAGGATGTTTTCAGTCTAGGGATTCTGTAGCATCTGTTTCAAAATTTTCGGAAGCATCTGTACACATACACACATATAAATATACACGTATATGCTTGTATATATTTATACATATAAAATAATTTATCTTCTTCCTTCTTTACCTTTTGGTTTTGACATAAAGTTTTTTGGTTTTTTCTTTTCCTGAAAGCCTTTTTAGAAGGTAAAATAATCATAAGCACATTAGGAAACATTTACAGATTAGAGAAAAGGAAAAAAAAAAATGACCCATAATCCCACCTAGACGCTAATAGTTTATAGTTTTACTTTCAGTCCTCCCCTGTGTTGCCCCATTCCCATGCATGTCTTAGATATTATATGTGTAATTTTTGTGCCTTTTTTCACTAACAATAATCATTTTGGCCTTTTTGCTACATAGTCATCGTAACTGTTCTTCCTAGTAGCCATCAGATAGACTTTGGGGGTCAGCTTTATTGAGGTATAATTGACATACAATAAACTGCACATATTTAAAATTTACAGTTTTATATGTTTTGACATGTATATACTGTGAAATTCTAGATAAATCTTTTTAGCTTTCTTCCCCTTTTAGAATCCTTGTATGTAAAACAGATGAAAATAGGGCAGTGGACCTAGCCCAGAGCTCTGCCCACTGGTGGAGGTTCCGCTGCCCAACCCTTTTTACCTCAGGCTGTGCAGAACGGATTTTGAATTGGAGTATAATAGTCTACTGAGTGCCATAATGTGCCTAGTCATTTTTCTCCTACTAAGCAGGCAGTTATGCTTATTGTAGTAGTAATCCCTCCTTTCTGCCCTTTCTGCCCTCCCGTTGCCTTACGATATTCTGGCTTATTGCACCCTTTGTTCCACAATGAGTCTGTACTTTTTCCCCCCCTTCTTATTTAAATGTATTTTCTAGGGAGTGACATGGAGCTAGACTTGTTAGCAGCAGCTGAAACAGAAAGTGACAGTGAAAGTAACCATAGCAACCAGGATAATGCTAGTGGGCGTAGAAGTGTTGTCACTGCAGCAACTGCCGGCTCAGAAGCAGGTACGTTACCTTACTCGTATCCAGCTTTCTTGCTTATGCTAAGGCTAAGTGTATATTCAGCACGAATTGGTTAAACTGTACTCCTTATGATTTGCACAAGGGTGCCTAAGTCTTTTTTTGGAACTTAATCCTTTTTCCCTGTGGATGTTAGTGAGGAAGATATTTTATTTCATTTATTTTTTTAAGATTTTATTTATTTGCAAGAGAGACAATGAGAGACAGAGAGCATGAGAGGGAGGAGGGTCAGGGGGAGAAGCAGACTCCCTGCCGAGCAGGGAGCCCGATGCGGGACTCGATCCCGGGACTCCAGGATCATGACCTGAGCCGAAGGCAGTCGCTTAACCAACTGAGCCACCCAGGCGCCCCGTGAGGAAGACATTTTAATGACTTTTTTTCTTTTCTGATTTTTAAATAATGGATAAATTTTAAGGTTCATTTAGAAGAGTTGTTTTGTAATTAAACTATTTTAATGATGGGTTTTGTGGACTATAGACTATAGCCTGGCATTCTGTTTAATACATGTTTATTTTCCTGAATGAGGGAGTACACTGTAGTTTTAAATATCAACAAACTGACAGTGGTTTCGGTTTTAAAAACAAAAAATTTAGGTGCGAGCAGTGTTCCTGCCTTCTTTTCTGAAGATGATTCGCAATCAAATGACTCAAGTGATTCTGATAGCAGCAGTAGTCAGAGTGACGACATAGAACAGGAGACCTTTATGCTTGATGAGCCATTGGAGAGAACCACAAACAGCTCCCATGCCAATGGTGCTGCGCAAGCTCCCCGGTCCATGCAGTGGGCCGTCCGCAACACCCAGCATCAGCGGGCAGCCAGCACAGCCCCGTCCAGCACGTCCACGCCAGCAGGCGAGTCTGAAAGCTTTGTATTCTTAAAAGACTTAAATAGGTTTTTAAAACGATGTATGTTCATCTAGACCAGTTAAGTAGTTTCATAATAGTTCTTCAATGTTTTGCTGGGTTCAAATACAAAAAATATTTACATAGGCTTTTATCGAGGTTTCTCGGTCTCTGTACGATTGCTGCTTTGGGCTGAATAATCCTTTGTTTGTGATTGTGCTACAGTGGATGTTTAGCAGCATCCTTGACCTCTATGTACCAGATGCCAGTAGCAGCGCCCCCCCTCCCCACACCCCCCCTCGTGACAACCAAAAATGTCTGTAGACATTGTCAGATGTCCCTCTTTGGGGTGGGGGCAATAGCAAAGTTGCCTCTGGTTGAGAACATTATAGTAATTCTTGTCCCCCTCCCCTCATCATCGCCCTCCCTAATGTGGTGTGGTTTAAGAAAAAGTTTTTTGTTCAGTTGCCCCATTTGCCGGTGCAGTTGATCTTTGAGCTTATTTAAATACACACAGTGCTCGAGAAACACAATTCGCATCTGATGACTTGTTGTGGTTGTCCTTTTTTCTTTACAGCCAGCTCAGCGGGGTTGATTTATATCGATCCTTCAAATCTGCGCCGGAGTGGTACCATCAGCACGAGCGCTGCCGCTGCGGCCGCGGCTCTGGAAGCTAGCAACGCCAGCAGCTACTTAACATCTGCAAGCAGTTTGGCCAGGGCTTACAGCATTGTTATCAGACAGATCTCGGACCTCATGGGCCTTATTCCTAAGTATAATCACCTAGTGTACTCTCAGATTCCAGCAGCTGTGAAATTGACTTACCAAGATGCAGTAAACTTACAGGTATGGAAACATTGAAAAGTTACTCATTCAAATAAATTTATGAGAATTCCAGTATATGGGAATTAATGTTACACATATTTAAATGTTTACATACTACTTCTACATCAAATTTAACTTTATTTGGATAGTTTTAACTATTTTAGTTTGGTCTTCATAGAACTATGTAGAAGAAAAGCTTATTCCCACTTGGAACTGGATGGTCAGTATTATGGATTCTACTGAGGCTCAATTACGTTATGGTTCTGCATTAGCATCTGCTGGTGATCCGGGCCATCCAAATCATCCTCTTCACGCTTCTCAGAATTCAGCTCGAAGAGAGAGGATGACTGCACGAGAAGAGGCTAGTTTGCGAACCCTGGAAGGCAGACGGTATGAAATTCTTCACGTAGGCTTGTATGTTCAGACAGAACCCTTAGGTCCTAGAACGTTAGAGCTTTTTGATTGCTGCTGCATAAGACCTCACTCTGTTTTGAAGGATGGAGGTACCTTGTGTTACTTCTTTTTAAGTTACTGTATAGTTGAAGCAAAATAAGTTAGTTATAATCCAAGCTATTTTTTAAAAATTCATTCGTATTGCAGGAATCTGATGCTAAATACTTCTCATTTTTGAAGTAGTTGATCTCCATCCTTGTGTCCTTATCCCCCGGGCTTCCCCGCCTCGCCCTTGAAAGGCCTGTATTCATGGGAAGACTTATTTTGACCGTGGTTGAACATGAATGCACGTTGTACTTGGGGAGAGGAGAGTGTGTGCAGTTACCAAAGCTGCTCTTGGATTCCCTCAGATCAAATTTCGTTTTCTACATCTCCCAGTCTGTTGAATCGTACTTAAAGTATATTTCTTTATGTGTTTTTGGGTTTTTTTAAGATTTTACTTATTTTAGATAGTGTGAGCACATGCGAGAGAGTGAGTGGGGCGCAGTGGGAGAGAATCTTCAAGCAGACTCCCTGTTGAGCACGGAGTCTGACACAGGGCTCGATCTCATGACCCAGAGATCATGACCTGAGCCAAAAATCACGAGTCAGACGTTTAGCTGACTGAGCCACCCAGGCGCCCCTGTATTTGTTTTCTTTCTGTTCAGTTATAAAATGACCTTTTTCAGGACTAGGAATCAGCCCCAAATTGTACACTAGAGCAGTGAGGCACTGCCACACAGTGAAAGTGCCCCATACCTGAAGTCACAGTCCTAGGATCTGGTTCTAGTTTGGGCTCAGGTGAAACAACCTCGCTACTTTGGGAGGAAGACAAGGGGCTTGGGAGACTGCTTAGGAACCTTAACAAGATTATGGTTGGAGTCCACCATTGAAAAGTAATAGTTCTGTAAGTAGGGTAAGTGAAGGCCAGGAAGGTGGAGAGAGAGAAGCACTGAAATCATATAAACAGAATTGAGGGCTTTGTTGTAGGATGGAGCAGGAGGAGGCAGAATTTACACCTAGACTTTGATTCTGAATAAACTAATAGGAAAATTAAGAGAAAAATCTAGAGCAGTATAGAATGGACATACGTGCTTTTGAAAATACTGAGAACTGGGAGAGGATTTGGTGGAAATGTCTAGAATACAAAATTGAATGCTTGGCAGAGAGATCTGGACTTGGGAGGCCTCTGCTTTCTTGTCCTGGGAAGCCCGCTCTACAAAAAGACACATTGTCTTTGTTAGGCTTAGTCACTCCCTGCTGAAGTACAGCGTTCTGATGATAGATCTAGATTGGTTACAGGGTTCTCCCTGTATCTCACTGTAGCTCTCACTCTAATAGAATAGCCTTATTGAGATATAATTCACATACTGTACAATTCACCCATATAAGTGTACAGTTCCATACTTTTGAGTATATTCAGAGCTATGCAACCATCATCACAATTAATTTTGGAATATTTTTATCATTCCATGAGAATATCTGTTAGTCACGTTCCATTTTCCTCTACTTTCCCACCCTAAGCACCCACTGATCTACACCCTTTCTCTGTAGTTTTGCCTATTCTGGACATTATGTACAGATGGAACCATACAATATGTGGTATTCTGTGCCTGGCTTCTTTGACCTAGCATAATTTTTCTAAGGTTCATCCAGGTTTAGCATTATCAATCAATACATTACTTCCTAGTAATATTTCTTTGTATGGATGTGCCACATTTTTTTTTTATCCATTCATAAGTTGGGTTTTTCAACCTTTTTGGCTCTTGCGAATAATGCAGCTGTTAATATTTGTGTACAGGTTTTTGTATAGATGTGGGTAAATATCTAACTGTGGAATTGCTAGATCATATGGTAATTCTCACACTTAACCTTTTGAGGAACTGCCAGACTTTTCCAGAGTGGCTGCACTATTTTACATTCCCAGTAGCAGTGGATGAGGCTTCTAATTTCTCTACGTCCTTGCTAACTCTTGTTAGTAACTTTTTTATTGTAGCCATCCTAGTGGATGTGAAGTGGTATCTCATTGTGGTTTCGATTTGCGTTTCCCTAATGGCTAAATGATGAGCATTGTGTCATGGGCTTATTGGTCATTTGTGTATCTTTGGGGAAATGTCTGTTTGCCCATTTTTTAACTGTCTTGTCTTTTTGTTATTGAGCTGTATGAGTTACTTACATTTTCTGAATATAAGTTCCTTAATCAGATACAAGACTTGCAGAAATTTTGTCCCATCCTGTGTGTGTTTTCTTTTCTTTTTTTTTTTTTTGATGGTGTCCTTTGAAGGACATAAGTTTTTAATTTTGATAAAGTCTAATGCTGTGTGTGTTTTCTTGTTGCTTGTGTTTTGGTGTCATGTTAGGCAGTAGTTCTCAGCGTGTAATTCCCCAGAATAGCAGCAACAGCATCACCTAGGAACTTGTTAGAAATAGAAAATTGGGGGCCCTACCCCAGACCTACTAAAACTTAGGGACATGGGGCCACAGTCTGTCTCAACAAGGCCTCCAGGAGATTTTGCTAAGACACTGAAGTTTGAGAACCATTGTCTTGAGGGAAGAAGTTCCTTTTCCCATTCCAAAGGACCCTGGAAATCCTTTCCCAAATAAAAAGCACAGGACAGCGGGGTGCCTGAGTGGCTCAGTCAGCTAAGTGCTCTTAATTTTGGCTCACGTCGTGATCTCTGGGTCATGAGAGTCCCGCACTGGGCTCTGAGCTCAGCAGGGGGTCTGCTTGGATTCTCTCTCTCCCTCTGCTCACCAGCCCCCAACCCCCAAATAAATAAATCTTAAAAAGTACAGGACCACACAGGGTTAATGAGTTTTGACTTACGGATACTCTCAGTTCCTAATTTTGCATATTTATGATAGTGCTAATTTTCATATTTGTATCCTTTTAAAAAAGCATTTTCATTTCTTTTTCTTCCTACAGACGTGCCACATTGCTTAGCGCCCGTCAAGGAATGATGTCTGCCCGAGGGGACTTCCTAAATTACGCTCTGTCTTTAATGCGGTCTCATAATGATGAGCACTCTGATGTTCTTCCAGTTTTGGATGTTTGCTCACTGAAGCATGTGGCGTATGTTTTTCAAGCCCTTATATATTGGATTAAAGCAATGAATCAGCAGACAACGTTGGATACACCTCAACTGGAACGCAAAAGGTATCCATACTTGCCATGAGGTTGGTTTAGGAAATACTTAATTGCTCAATATGGTCTCTATTAGTATATTGTCCGATTTTTGGAGCGAGGAGAAGAGCGTTGCAAAAGAGAAATAGTACAGGAACATTTCATGTGGGGAAGAGGGCTTGAGTCTCCATAGCTACTAACTGAAAACAGGAAACCTGAGAATCCAATTAAGTTTGATGTTTGATGTAGTTTGTCATGTTTTCTATTAGAGTTTGTGTAAGTACTCACTATTTCTTAATGTGATTATCCTCTTGCTTCTTTCGAGCTTGTTTTGTAATTGTAGTACATTTGGCCTGGTCACTCTACCATTCCCAGAGTCTAAAACTTGATCATAATGTTTGCAATTGCCTAGATACTTAATTGACTTTTTCACTTACAGTTCCCATCACCTTTGTTCCATATTTCATGTAAAATGACTCACTTGTCTTTTTAAAGGACACGAGAACTCTTGGAACTGGGTATTGATAATGAAGATTCAGAACATGAAAATGATGATGACACCAATCAAAGTTAGTGTACAGAAAATCTGCTAATCTACTTCAAGAAATGGCTGCCTCAGTATTTCCCCTTCAAGCTTTTTAACTTCATTATTTTCTGTCTGGGTGGGAATTTCTCTTTTCTTCTCTATGTCCCATTTCTTGCATTTTCTGTCCATTTTTCCTTATATATCCTTGAGTTATTTGCTTCATAAATAAGGATGAATTAAAGAAATGTTATAAACTTTTTAACAGTCGGTATTTTTTCTCTTTTATCTTTGTATCCTTTGGTTTTAGTTTTATGTTTACCTTTATTTTTAAGTGTGTAAGTACAACATCTTTAAAAAGTCTTAGCAGAACCTTTATTAATGCTGATGCAAAATTGGTTTAGTCAAGAAAATGAGAAATACCAATTATAACTCCCAAATATCAAAACTCTTAAGAGTTAATGCAATAAAAAGAAAATATTCCAAACTCAAGAAATTTTGGGATCTTCTGCAGTCTCTACTTTGTAGTTTTTAGCTATTATTTCAAGTGGAATTTAAAAATTTTTTTAAAGTGGGGCCAAATAGCCCGTCCTCTTGCCTATTTCTTATGAACAGCTAGTACTTTTATTCAGCCCAGGGAAAGACAACTGACCTAATTGCTGCTGTTTGAAAACCCAGCCTTAGTCACTATTTTCACAGCTTACTGTACACTGCCCAAAGTTTTATTCCATTAAGGGGAGATGGTGTTCTTGTGCTTACTGTTGAGATGAATGAGATGTCCAGACATTTTTGTCTTGTAGAGAAAGCAGAACTTAAAAGTAAGCAAATGCTCAGATCTCAGCTCCTGACCATCTCCTCCTTATAGAGTCATCAGTGAGCCATGTCATGAATATGCTTAGGAAGCTAGCTGTATTCAGGTCTGAATCCCTAAAGAGAGAAAGAGAAAGATATGGGAAATGTTTTGTCCAATACAAAAATGGAACAGTATTTGTTACTGCTAATACTTTTTTTTCCAAGCTTTTCTTGTTGTGTTAAAATACACATAATAGAATTTACCATTGTAACCATTTTAAATTGCTAATATTTTGAATTAGCACCTAAAATAGTATCAAAATTTTGGACAATAAACTTGTTTTTGGTTTTTGGGTGACATTAAAATTTCATAAAGAGGTTACAGGAATTTTGGATTGAGCAGATTAAGATTCTTTTACCCTTCCCCAGTAACTAATATTTTCTAAAAAACAAACACTTTATCTCTTTATGTTTAGGTGCTACTTTGAATGATAAGGATGATGACTCTCTTCCTGCAGAAACTGGTCAAAACCATCCATTTTTCCGACGCTCAGACTCCATGACGTTCCTTGGATGTATACCCCCAAATCCATTTGAAGTGCCTCTGGCTGAAGCCATCCCCTTGGCTGATCAGCCACATCTGTTGCAGGTGATTTAGATAAACTAGTTTTACAAGGTTTCTTTTTAAGTGACTTCATTTTTTTTTTTAAGTGTTCAGTGTAACTAGAATATTTCTGTTAAAATTCCAGCCAAACGCTAGAAAGGAGGATCTTTTTGGCCGTCCAAGTCAGGGTCTTTATTCTTCATCTGCCAGTAGTGGGAAATGCCTAATGGAGGTTACAGTGGATAGAAACTGCCTTGAGGTAAGATAGTAAAGATCTTCACAATATAATATTTGTGAATGAGAACTTGTCCCAGTATCTAGAGTTTTAGAAATGCATTAATCCAGAATATTGTATTGCCTCAAATAATGGAAGTATCAGAAATTCCTGCCTTGTGACATAATTCCATATAATTTCATAATTCCATCAGTGTCACTAACCTGCTTTGAAAAGACAAACTTGTTTTATGTCAGGTGACTTCATCTATGAAATGGCAGTTTCATTATGTGTTTTGCCTATTTCACAGAGTTGAATGTTGTAATGTTCCTGGAAATTAAATCTTTATATTTTATATGTGTAATGCATATATACCTATCTTATATATATGAGCATATATAGTATTGGCTTAACTTTTCTTTTTGACTGTAGAATGTGAATAATAAGGTAGAATTATCCAACAGGTCATTATTAATATTATCTACTAGGCACAGTCTCAATCTTTATAAGCACGTTGAGTAGAAAGCATTTTTTGTCCTGATTTTATGGGTAAAAAGTTGAGGCTTGCAGAGATTACATAAATTTCTTGTGGGAATGTCTGTTTGTTATACAACTAGTTAAGTAGTAGATCTAGATTTTAGATAAAAGTCTGATGTGAGAGCCTAAAATTATATAGTCCGTACTGTTCCTCCAATGAAAACGTAATAAACACGTTTAAGAGCAGAATTTGCTTTATTATCTAAGTGATAAAAAAGAATGCAATCTTTGAAATATTGAGAATAACATAGGACATTATAGTAGCCACAGATATTATAAAGAATCCTTTAAAAGTTCTCTGAGGCTGCTGTGGTAAATGCACATTGGTGCAGTTTCATTGGTAGTCAGCAAGGGAAACAGGCTGCATCTTTGTAGTTGAAGTGCTAAAAGGAATTAAAAAACTTCCATGTGATTTCTGTGGAATATTAGGAAGTTGAAAAGGAAATCTAGTCAGTTTTTTTTTAAATGTATAACTTTTATGTGTAAAAATTCATAGGTTCTCCCAACTAAAATGTCTTATGCTGCCAATTTAAAAAATGTAATGAACATGCAAAATCGACAAAAAAAGGAAGGGGAAGAACAGAATGTGGTGCCAGAAGAAGCTGAAAGTTCAAAACCAGGGCCATCTGCTCATGATCTTGCTGCACAGTTGAAAAGCAGTTTACTAGCAGAAATAGGACTGACTGAAAGTGAAGGGCCACCTCTTACATCTTTCAGGTATTTGCTAAGTGGAGATAGTTTTTCTGTTGCATTACTTTATGGGTATTATAATTCTAAGAATTTTTATTTAGGAATTTTATTATTTTATTTCATATGTATGTAAATAATAGAATTAAATGTTTGAGTTTTCTGGATTTTGGGGTGACTGTATAGTCATTGATTGGCATTCTGATTTTTCTCCTTACTTTATTGAGGAAATTCTAGGCCTCTGTTTTTTAATGTTCAGTACTGAGTTAAAGTATGTCCATGTCAGGTTGCCAATTATAGACGTGTTACCAGCAGCTCAGCAAAGGAAAACATGTGAATGACTAGAAAGAGCTTTCTAGACTTGTGACTCTCACACTTGCTTGGGCTCCTTTGCCAGGTTCACAGTTGATTATTATCTTATAAGAAAGAGGTAGGTTCTTTGCTTTCCCAGTAAAAATTTGCTAGGGTACACTGTGGCTCAGTATGGCTAATCATCAAATGATTTGTTGAGTACACATGGTTTACAGAATGTCAGACAATTATTTTTGCTTAGGAAATTATATTTTATATACATAGTCCAACGACCATAAAAGGCAAGGAAGAATTGTGAACTGGGGGGGCCCAAGCTTTTCAGAGACAATATGGCTTGAGCTGAGATGGTGAGAATGTGTAGAAGCAAACATTGAAGGAGAGAAGAATTGGAGGTAGAGAGACAAGTTAGAAAGCTCTTAACTAGTCCAGGCCTAGTGGTAAAAAGGGGCTGTGAAGTAGAATATTGCCTTTGGGTATGGATAGGAAATTATGGAAAGAGAGAAACTCATGAAGGACTTAATCACTCTGGAGGAACAGGGGAAAGAGACATTAAAATTTGTTTCAGGTTTGTGCAATAGGGAAATAGATGGTACTACTGAAAGAAAGCAAGAGGCAGCGTCATTGAAGTGAAGAAGCCCTATTCAGTTTTCCTATGTTGAATTGGACTTGTGTGTCACTGACATGGATATATTTAACACAGTGGAAATTCTGGTCTGTTGTGAAAATTTGAACTGGAGAGGGACCTAGGAGTCACCCAAATGGAGAGGGATGATGGACTTTAGAGAAGAGGTAAAAATGAAGATGAAGGTAGGCAGCGAGGAGATGTATCCTTATATAAAGGACGGAAGGAATAATGGAATAAAAATGAGAAGTTCTATGAGGAGTGAGTAATTCTAGAAAAATTCTGTTAGAGAGGATGTCGTTTGAAGTACTTCAGAACCAAGAAAATTACTGTCATTGACCAAAAATCAGGGAATTTTTATAGTTGGCGAAATTACTTCCCACTCTCCCCTTAAATCTCTTGCAGGCCACAGTGTAGCTTCATGGGAATGGTTATTTCCCACGATATGCTGTTAGGACGTTGGCGCCTTTCTTTGGAACTATTTGGCAGGGTGTTCATGGAAGATGTTGGAGCAGAACCTGGATCAGTATGTATTTTGAGCACTTTTAATTCTGTTCTGCCTGATAAGAACTTATGTCAGAGAATAATTCTGTCATGGATTTTTTTTTTTTTTTTTTAAAGATCCTAACTGAATTGGGTGGTTTTGAGGTAAAAGAATCAAAATTCCGTAGAGAAATGGAAAAACTGAGGAACCAGCAGTCAAGAGATTTATCACTAGAGGTAAAGGTATTTAAATTTTCTTATACTATACATATAGTGTGCCATTTATATTAAGTTTAAAAACAAAAAATAGGGGCGCCTGGGTGGCTCAGTTGGTTAAGCGACTGCCTTCGGCTCGGGTCATGATCCCGGAGTCCCGGGATCGAGTCCCACATCGGGCTCCCTGCTCGGGGAGTCTGCTTCTCCCTCTAACCCTACCCCCTCTTGCGCTCTCTCTCACTCTCTCTCTCTCTAATAAATAAATTTTAAAAATCTTTAAAAAAACAAAAAATATCAGTCTTGTTAAGGGATGTTTTGAGTTAACTAAAACTTTTATAATTAGAGTAGTGGTTATCTCTGGCAATTGGTTTCCTAACATCTTCTCATGATCAGTGAATATTTTCAGTTTTGTTTTTTTTTTTTTAACATTTTTGATGTCCTTTATTCCATTAGGGTTATTATATTCCATTGATGCTCAGATCGTCTCTTTGGCTAGTGGGAGTCCTGAGTCCTCTTTGGCTCCTTGGTCCTCTTGACAGGACTCCCAACAATCTTTGATAACTTCTTTACTTTTTGGTATGTCTCATCTTGTATATTTCCTGTCACAGACCTTAAATCAACGATTTCTTCAAGAAGCCTTGGTTCCTTTTAGAAAAGTATTTCAAGATTATAATCTGGGCTATAGGGTTGCTCCCTGCCTACTAGGTTGGTCATGGTTTCTAGGTCTTTTCAATGGATAGAGCTAGGAAATTTTCCTTTAAAAAAAAAAAAAGAGAAATTACATTGTAAGTGCATACTTGATATTTCCAATTCAAATTCGAGATTTAGGATCACGTAATTGTTTTATTTCCACCTCTTAGTCTTTATCTCCTTTCTTCCAAACCAAAAATCCAACTTCCCAACACCACTAAGAAAATTACTCCTTTGCTTTTATCTTACAGCATATACATGGCAGTTTTAGAGTTACAACATCCACACGACCACCCAAAACAATGATCGAAAATAGCTTAAGATTTACTTGCAGTTTTTTGCCCTTAGAACTTATCCAATTAGAGATATAGTCAGATTGCTTCAAGTCACTTGAAATAATTTTTCTTTGTGTGGTTTTGCTACTAATGTAAAATATCTATAATAGTGCAAGGCCAACTCTACAGAAGAAGTTATATTTAGGGAATTCTAGTTTCTATTTCTGTCTCTTTTACCATGCCCCCACTTCTCCCCTTCAGGTTTTTTTTTTTTTAATTGTCTTCCCTCCTTTAAAAAAAAAGTAATCGTGCATGTGTGTATATGTATTCATTAGCCATCTCTCTCCCCTACTCCTGACCCCGAGTGTGCTATGCATTTTACTCCATCTTGCTTTTCCTAGTTAACAGTATATCCCAGAGGTAAAGCCATTGCTGCATAGAGCAGGGTTCTGCCTTCCTTTTACAGCTGTTTTGTCTTAGTACTGCATTTTATGGTTGTATCACAGTTTTGTTTTTGTGTGGGGTTTTTTTTGTTGTTGTTAAACATTTATTTGAGAGAGAGAGAGACAGAGATAGTGACAGAGAGCACAGGTGGGGAGGAGAGGGAGAAGCAGGCTCCCCGCTGAGCAGGGCACCTGACGCAGTGCTTGATCCTAGGACCCTGGGATCATGACCTGAGCCGAATGCACACACTTGACTGACTGAGCCACCGAGGCGCCCCACCAATCTCCTATTGATAGATATTTGGGTTTATTTCTAATCTTTTGCTGTTACAAATAGTGGTGTGTGTTTTTTTTGGCTAATGTGTGTATCTTTGAGATAGATTCTTAGACATAGAACCTAGACATGGGTCAAAGAGCATATGCATACGTAATTTTGGCAAATACTGGAAAATACTTCTGCATGATGATTATGTATTTTTGCTCTTGCAACATTAATCTGAGATGCCTCTATAGTCCTGCCAGCAGTTTGTCAAATGTTTAGATTTTTGCCAATGTGATAGGTAAGAAATGGCATCTTGTGTAGTTTTAATTTGCATTTCTCTTATTATGAGCAAAGTTAAACATCGTTTCATATATTTAAGTATTTTACTTTCTTCTGTGAACCGTTTGGTATATATATCTTGCCCATTTTTTTCTATTAAGCTTTTCCCCCAATTTTTTAGATTTTTTAGAAGCACATTATCTTACAGCACTATGTATACTATTCATAAATTTATATCTTTGTAACAGAACACACTCACCATTTTCCCAGCTTATCATTTTTATTTTACTTTGCTTGTGGTTTTCTGTCACCAAAGGAATATCCTGTGTTTTCTAGTATTTGCTAGCAGTTTTTTTGGTTTGTGTTTGTTTGGTTTTAAAACACACTTGATTTACTTGGAATTACCCTGGTATATTCCAAAATTGAACAAATTGCTGTTTTCCAATAGGCTTATTAAGAAAATATTAGATTGAGTTAAATTCCATTATCCTGATTTTTTTTTTTTTAAGATTTTATTTATTTATTTGAGAGAGAGAGAATGAGAGAGAGAGAGAGAGCACATGAGAGGGGGGAGGGTCAGAGGGAGAAGCA